ACGATATTTATATATAATGAATTTCATTATGACTAATTACTGAAATCTTTGTTACGATATAGTAATTTATATAAATATTTCTATTCATATTAGTATAAATGGTATGGTAAAAATTTTAAATGTTGTATAAATATAATAAAAAATTATAAGTTAAAAGACTGTACATACATTTCATAGATCGAGTATAATAATTTACAAACCATTTATCAAATATATGAAACTTAAAATAATATTTACATCACATAAACTAATATAAGTCTCAGAGCAGTCTCAAATCATAAACTAACATTGAAGATCAGTTCTATTCATTAACTCCATGCCAATTTTCTATCTCGACCAAATACTTTGAATCTAGATCATCATTTGAACCTAGATAACGATCACCCAAATCAGCTTTGACCTCTGTGCCAGTAACATGCTCGAAAGTCCACTTGGACGGTCTTCTAAGAGAGTCATGATCGTGGTAAGTAAATAGATATGTGAGAGCTGTCGGAGTTCTAACGATACCTCTGTACATATATACACACAAAGTTTGGTGTATTCTATTTCTAGGAAAGTCAAAAGGGATACTACAAGAGAAATCCATCTCTATTATTACAAAAACCCTAAGTTCATCTTCTACAAGTACAACAAATTTAAAATAATTTACTCTCTGATACTCATTAAATACATAATTTAAAATAAGTACAGCCTGAGCGAGATATGCAGAAAGTAGTCTCGCCTACTATTTTATGATATGCTTGCTTGAACGAGCTCCATTTTGCCTGAGCGAGATGGTGTCCAGAGAGCATAATATTTCTCCTGTGGGTCCTCGCTTGAGCGACTCATCTCGCTTGGACGAAAAACTTAGCTCGCTTGAGCGAGATTACATCTCGCCTGGGCAAGGTTACAGTTGACCCAAATTTATCTCATCTCGCTTGAACGAGATTCATCTTGCCTGAGCGAGATGTTTTGCACCACAATCCTATAAGAGTCCTCTATACTCTCTTCTAAATGTATTCTAATGTTACTTAATATTAAATAAACATAAATTACCGAAAAAATGTATTCTTGAACTATTCATACCATATCTCAACCGTGACACATCACTTTATACTGTTCTAATACATATGTTATAACTACATTAATCGATGTACTACAACATATGTGTTATAATCTCATCCGTCGATGTATTACAACACATATATCATAATCGCACCAATTGGTATCTTTGTAACACGTAACTAGTATTCCTTTTTCTTTCCTTCACACATATCTTTACTTTTTCATATCACATAATTTTCTAGAAGTCATACTCATACACTTCTATTCACTGTTATAATTTCCATCCATTTTTCTCATCATTGAATTCATAAAAACAGATTTAGTAATTCAAATATACCAACAAATTCTAATTCACATATTAATACATCTCTTCTTCCCATTATCCACTAAACTTCATTAAATTCATACAATCATCATACAATTCAGCAAAATTACCATGTTCTATCACTTCATCACACATTTATTAGACAATACACATTCGCACACAATATGCCAGGGGTTGGACACTTTTGGACTCAACCAAAATTGTGCAATTTCATAATAATTTACCAGAAGTCATATTTTCTCAGTCTCAATAGAGTCTTATAACCTAGAGTTCAGTATTCTCTATCTTTTATCACTTAACTCATATATATCCTAAGCAACTTAGTCCTAACACTTCTTAATGTTGTTCTAGCCCATGACTTTTGCTAAGAATTTGATTCCATTGATTTCAAATAAACCCCAAAACCTTTCTTTATACCAAAAATTTACTTTTACCATATGATTTCATAAAAATCTGTAGATTATTACTAAAATAAGTTACTCAGATTCTCATGGGGTCATTACATATAGAAATAACAATAAGGCTCGAGAATACTCCCTTTACCTGAAAATGGGTCTAAGAAGTAAGTTTTTCATGAGCTCTAGGAAGAAACTTCATGTCTCAACCGGTAAATCTCGCCAAGAACTAGAGTTCTTCCTAATGTCATAAAATATTACTATTAGAAGGAGAAAAAATAGAGAAATAAAAACTAGATTTGAAGGTTGAACTTCAAAAACTGACGTAGATCCGAGAAGAACAGAAGCTTGAGCTCAGATTCAACTAAAATTCAAAGGTATTGAAGGCTTTCTCTAATATGGAAAGGGGAGAGAATAGAGAGATTAGAGAATGAGAAACGGTTTTGGTGAGAAATGAAATTTCTTAACGTATAAGTCCTTAAATACCCTTCAAATCTGCGCGATCTCGTTTGAGCGAGCACATTCTTGCCTGAGCGAGCTAATTAATCAAACAATGATTTTTCTTATATCCTCTCGCTTGAGCAAGAGGCATTCTTGCCTGAGCGAGGATGGTTCCAAAGAGTTTTAGATTTTTTCGCGACACATCGCCTAACGATCTACTCCTCGCTTGGGCAATCTCCCTTCTCACTTGAGCGAGAGGACAGTTGAGACAACTCCATCCTTTCTTGCTTGAGCGAGGCTTACCTCGTTTGAGCGAGAATGATCCAGAACGCCCAGTTTAGAAAATATCTGTTTCGTTTGAGTGAAAAGTCTTGCACCAAAACTCTTATTTTACCCAACAATAAGGGAATAAAAATGAGAGTGTTACAACTAGCACTTACATTGTTGTTGAAGAAAATATTATTATGCTGAAGTCAGATTGTCCATACTCCCACAAACCACATTGTTACGGCTCATCTCCATTTCTTTTTATCACATTGGATTTTACACATGTTTAGTAACATTTTGTGTAAATTTTTAGGTAAACATAAACTAATACTAAATCATTCAAATACCATGTACCACAGTCTCATAGAAATACCACGCAAAGAAAGATGTAATATGTTCTCATCTTCGGTATTACATAACACAGAAGCTTCTTAGAGAATTGTCAATCCATGTTTGGTTAAATTTCTCGGCCTTAGAACTGCATTAAGTAGCAGACGCCAAACAAATGCTACTACCTTCTCTGACACACTGACCTTCCAAACTTTGCATAAGATATTTCACTAAACACAACTTTAAACCTCTGCAGTAAAAAAATGGTGAATGTAGTGATAAACGGATTGCACGCTATATTTCTTATTACCATCACACTTTCATATCAATATGTCATTCACATTTTTCCTTGGCCTCTTATCTTCTATAGTTTCTTACAATTGTTATGGTAAATCCTCATTCCATGAAAACAATTGTCTTCTCCAAGAAATTTTTCACACTTAACCCTAAACCCTAAACCCTAAACCCTAAACCATTCCACATTTCGCTCCTCCACATCACCTTTGTTATTTGACATGCATATTTTTTCTCATTTAGTATAACAAAATGTATTTAGAATAGCATTCAATTAAATATCTTATTGTATATTTAAAAATTTATTTTAGGATACGTATATATAAAAAATAAAATAATATTATATTCAGTTTTATTTATAAAAAATAAATATATAGTTTATTAAAATTAATAAAAATAATTATATGTTATAAAATAAAATTTATAAACTTTACAATATTAATAAAAATATAATATCAATAATTTTTATATATTAAAGAAATGAATGTCTCTATTTATCTGAATATTTTATTATCATAAATCTTAAAAATAAATAATGTATATAAAAAATCAATAATGAATACATTTAAAAAATATTTATTTATTTTTTATATTGTGAATTAAAAAATTAATATATTTTTTATAAATATAATTTATAACAATAATAATATAAATTATTTATTTTTTAATAATTTATAAACAGAAGTGTTGAACTATTAGAGATCTAAATATCATAAGAGAATTGACGTTTATATTATTATTTACTAATTCTAGCAACGCAAATTATGTCATAATCACTTGAAGTCGGAATATTTTTGTCTTGTTACTTCGCTAACTTAGTGTTGCAATCGATGAATTGGAAGATTCGTAGGAGTGCCTCGGCTTTGTTGCAGTAAAATCTATATGAATATATATAAAACTTTTTTTTTTACAGGAAATGTCGCAATGGTATTTTTTATTTTAAGTTTTCAAATTTATTATTTTATTTATTAGAACTTTATATTTCTAGATATTTTATATTGATTTTAATTTTTGTGTGTATATAAAATTATATTTTTATTATTTTACTTATTTTTTAATACCATAGTATCTGTTAAATATTAAATAAATAAATAAAATTTTATTCAAAATTTATAAAAAATAAATAAGTCTTAAATAAATTAATAAATTAAATAAAGGTTTTAAAATATTTAATTAAATAAATTTTAAATTTATTTTTAAAATTAATTAATTAAATTAAATATTTTATATAAGACAAATTTCTTTTTATAATTTTTTATAAGACAAATTTAAACTTTAAATACTCATTTTAATTTATTTACATTTACTTAATAACAAGTGAAAATGACACAGAAATATAACGCAAATAGATTTTGTCATGTTTAGACCAACGTGTATATAGTGATTTTTGGTCTTCAATATTTTTACAGACTTAAAATTAGTTTTGGTATTTCAAAACCTCTTGAACTATTTTTTTAGGTATGTGCTATGGTATTTTAAATTTTTTTTATGAGTATTATACTCAAAAAATTTATACCAATAAAAAAAATACGTGTTAAGTTAAATAAAATATTATTATATATAATTTATTTAAAATTATATTATTTATTTTATTTGTTATATGATTCTATTATTGTATGTATATTATATATTAAATTTTTTATTTTATTTTTATTATTTTTTATAAATTTTTAGTTTTGAATAAAATATAATTCATATTTAAATAATTTATATTTATTATAAATAAAAAATTATAAATAATATATTAATTTAATGATTAAATATTAATAATAATAAAATTAAGAATATAAAAATATATTAATATAATATTATTATTTTATTTTTAAATTTTAATTTTTTTAATTTTAACTTATATATAATAAATATAATAATTTATTATCAAATAAATTTATTATTTGAATATGTATCTAAATATTATTGATTAAAATTTGTCAACTTTAAAATTTTTTTGTGGGTATAACAGAATTTATCTTATCTTAAATGTCAATCAATTGAAATTGAATTAAAAGCGATTCTACTCCAAAGTTGAATCTGATTTTAACATTGTTTAGACATTTATTTCTCTAATTAATTCAAACGATCCAGGTTCTGATTCCATAGCAGCTTTGTATCTGGTTTGGCTGAAAGAGATCACAACGAATAAGAATAAATATTGATCCTATTTATAATAGAACGCAACACCCCTTTCACATTTACTAGCAAGAGAAATATCCAGAAACTAAGTTATTAAATGATGAATCTAGCAGCCTAAAATAGATATGAACAACACAAGAAATAAAAAGAGAGTTGAGGAAAAGACAATAAGACATGGGCACACGAAAACATATGATCAGTTAGGGCATTTTCTTGGCACTCGTCATCATCCTCATAAACTCATGCAAGTCTATAAAGCCATCCCCATTTCCATCAACCCCCTTCACCATTCTTTCACAAGCACCAAGGCTGCAACTCTCTCCAAGCCTTTTGAGAACTTGGGACAATTCCTCTGCACTAATTTTCCCATCACCATTCAAATCGAACACTTGGAAAGCACTCTTAATCTCCGTTTCTTTTACCTTCTCCTCTAAATTGAACATTTCCATGAACTCTTTGAAATCAATGAAACCATCTCCATCAGAGTCCATGGCCTGAAAAGACTCAACAGCCTCAGTGTCACCAAGGCCCAGGCCCATAGTCCTCATAGCTGCTTTATACTCTTCAATGGAAATCTTGCCATCTTTGTTGGTGTCAAACTTTTCAAACACCCATTTCATTTCCTCTTGTTTTGGCTGAAAATTACACCCTGCACTTGATGTCTGTCTTGACATGAAGTTGTTTCTCTTCAGGGTGGGACTTTTGGGTGGAGATGACTTCCCCAAAGAGTTGCTATAATGAAACTGAAGGAAACTCAAATTCGACATGGCCTATTTTTGGGACTTAGATGCTAAAGAAAATATACACAAATATTTTTGGCTTCAAGATTGCTGCTCCCATGGTTATGGTTTCCATGTATATATACTATCAGGTGTTGCTTGTGAGAGGAAAAGTGGTAGAGAATCGGAATTGCAGACATTCCTAACGCGTTGAGGTGACTCTTTATTCACTTTATTGAAAATTTGAAGCTAACTCCCTTTTAAAAGTTAATTTAAAAGAAAAATATTGTTCAAACTTTGTATAGAATATTTTCCCTATTATGCTAATTAGGGCCCTTTTTAAAAAATTATAAATAAGTTATAAAAATAATTTATGATTCTTATAATTTTTCTCAACTTATTTTAATATATTTTTATATAATTTATAAAAAATAAATTGTTTTCAGTTTATTCTAATAAATTTAATAGTCATTTATAATATAATCATCATTTAAAATAAAAATAATAAATAAGCATTTAATTAAATTGTATATATAAATACGCCTCTAACATGAGAATCTGAATAATATTATTACAAGGGATTGGTCATGGTTCACTAAACATGGTTGGGAAACTGGGCTATTCTTTGTGGTTAAAGTTGAAATGCACGTTTGGGGTCGATTTCGTCCCTCTTTGGAACACCGCGTATTCACCACCATCACAGCATGTCCACTTGGAAAGCTGAATCCTTATCTTCTATCACATTAACATGGCGCGTTTCAAGCAACTTACATCAAAAGCATAGTCCCTCATGATTCAACTTATTAAGTAACCGCTTGATTGGTTCCAACTTCGGTTTCACTCGTTACCCACATGTAGTAACTCTGCTTTCCACGAGCTTGTATATATATAAAAAATAATTTTAAATATAAAACTATATAAAAAAATTAAATATCTAATAGATTATTATTTATTATAAATAATTTACTGTGAATAATATTTTTAGTTTATTATATATATATATATTTTTTAAAATTAATGATATAGATTGTCAAATTTTTATAGTTATAATTAAAAATAAATTATATTAAAAACAACTATATATAAACTATTCATTAAATAATTATAAATTATACAATCTACATTTTTTTATCATTCTTAATAATAAAAAATATTTTTTAATGTCACTCTTTCAATGCAATATATAATTAATTATACATAATAAAATATAACTAAAGTTATCAGTTGTTTTGTCAATATCAGTGTGGATCGGTTGGATTTAGTTGATCAAAATAAGTAAATATTTTATTTTTAAAAATACTGAAAAATGGGATTTAGTTAATCAAAATAAGTAAATATTAAATTTCTAACAAAATTGGCACCACAACTCAGTTAGGATGAAATAAGTAAGATAAGAATAGCGTACTGTTGGTATTTATTTTTATATTTATTGTATAATAATTTTCATCTTCATCTTTATGTTTATTAAGTACCCAAATTTTCATACCTATACTTATTACTTATAATTTGTTAGCCGAAATAAATTTTCTTCTAATACTTTTTTAAGCACTAATAAAATATAAATATAATTATAAAATAAAAAAAATTAAAAATGTCGAATAAAATCATTTATTTCAACTTAAATAAAATATCAAATTACAATAAAATATATGAATGAAATTATAATAAAATTATTTATCTAAAATTTGAGTTTAAATTATATATATATATATGTTTCACTGTTGATGTGCATAAATGAGTATGGTACTATAGTGTTTGTTTGTGCTTATATCTATGTTCAACAAATTTTGTAAGTATCTACCTAAACCTATATCAAGACACAATCTAGGATTTAAATTCTCTCATGTTACGTCAGAAATCGTACGTCTAAATTCTATTTTTAAAAAATAAATTTAGATTCATTTAAATAAGTTTTTTTAAAAAAAATTAAATGACTCTAACCAAATCTTAAAAAATAATAATAAAAAATTACCCAAACTTTACAAAGAATTCTGTAGTCACTGTCTTCCCCGAAAGCTCCCATGCAATAACAACGTGATGACAGCATTGACAGTGGCATCATCGTCGGATTTCGATGAATCGCTGGACTTCGACGACTTCGCCTCGTATCCTCGAGCCTCGTCCCCTTGATTCGAGAGCTCCAACGTGAAACCAAAGATTCGCAGCGCCCGTCGCAAGAGGACCCCCTGCACCTGCACTAATCTTTCAAGTTCGATGTTTTGGCACTTCTTTCGCACATTTTTTGCAGATCTAAGTAAATCCTCACCATGAATCACCACCACGATTCCAATCCACTCGACGTAGAAGAAGTCAATCCCTTCTCGGTAATTAAGAACATTTTTCTTTACATTTTTTAAAAAGTTTTTTTTTCAATTAATAAATATATATATTCTTTAATTTAAATTTTTTTTAAAAATTATAAATGAACAGACTCTAAATCTTCTTCACTCTTTTTCCATATCTATATTTACCTGTTTTTTTTTTTTTTTCAGATCTAATATTGTTTTTGCCTCAAACTCCCTAAATTCGGGGCTCCACCTCTTCAGAATATAAAAATGGAACAGTTTCGATGGTTCGTGTTTGATATGGATCTGGGGTTAATTTGTGTCGTTATGCTTTCCTTTTATTTCTGGGAAGAAGAATGCTGTTATTGCAGAAGGAGCTTTCACATAGTAGACTCTTATGTAGGGTTTTCAAAACTTGTATACATTCTTTTAAATACACTCTTAATATACTTTTTGTGTTTAATCTATTTTTAAAAAAGTTAAAGTACTTATTTTGTAAATTAATTTTTTTACATTTATTTTAACTTTTTAAAGAGTTGACTAATTATAAGAGATAGGTTGAAAAATATTTCTTTAAGAGTATGTGAGTGATATTCCTCCTAGTCATAGTACAAATGATTAAATTTTAATTACTACTGTACTCAATTATGATTTCCTAGTATTGATTCTTAATCATTAGAAATATGTAATTTACATACGAATTTTATAGATAAAAAAAATTCATTTGTATTAGAGATGGCTTTACAATAAAAAAATTAAAAAAATATTTTTTTTTTAATTTTTTGAGAAAATTCTTCTATAAATTTGTTTGTAATATAAATGAATTTTTTTTGTTTGTAAACAGTCTATCATTTGTTGCATAATATTACAGACAGAAATTACATATGAAAATTTTTGTCTATAATTTAAAGATGAAGCGAAATTTTTTTAGTAAAAATTATAAACAAAAAAGTTGTCTGTAATTTGGAAAACCATTACAACTTTTTATATAACTTGTTACAGACATATTTTTTCATTTGTGACTACATTTAATAGATTTACAGACGAATTTATCCGTTTATAACTGAATGTGCAAAATGTTTTGTTTCATTAAATTAGTTACAAATGAAAAAATTCGTCTGTAATGTGTGAAACAAATCAAAATCATGTCTCTTCCTTCTTCTTCCTTACTTTTAATGTTTTCTTGTCTCTCTCATCTCACTTTTTCTCTCTAGCATTTTTAGTTCTTTGGCCATTGCAAATGGTTAGAACATCCATTTGAAAAACAATTTGCATTATTGTGTACCTAGTACAATACTCAACCTTTCAATCGACTTAATTTTTTTATTTTTGATGTAGAATAAAGACTTATGATTTATAAGATAGAGTTGTAGGATGGAGATTGTATGATTGGAGAATAGGCATAGAGATCCTTTCTCAAACCTTATTACTGTTTGTACTTGCAAAAAATAGAGAATATGCATGTTGTGGAGCTACAAGGGGATGCGCTCTAGAATATTTTAGGATTGTGATATATATATATTTATGATTTATTTATTAATATATTTTTATGTAATATATACACAATGTGTGAAGGAAATATATATTTTTGTATTAGATGTTAACATATGTAAGGAAATTTTCATAAATTATGGGAGATTCTGACAATATTTAATTAGAATTTTATGTAATGTAAAATAAAAGATATTGATACAATATTTTGCACTTGTATTAGGTTAAATGAATTCCTAATCGAGATGTTCCTTGGAGTATTCACCAATATTGATCCTATTTTATTTTAATAATGATATATTTTACTATAAATATATTATGTTTCATTCATATATGACTGATGGGAGACTGTCGCTATTTTATCAAAATATGAGTAGTTTAAATGTAATACTAGGTTAAGTCAACTTAGGTCGTCTCCTATTAATCATTAAGTTAATGACTAAATATCAAACATATAATGTGCATTGTATTTAGAAAATAGGGAGAATTTTGTTGTGGTTTTAAATTACTAAATCAATTAAATAGAAATTTGAAATTAAGAAAACCAATAAATAAAACAGATTAACCCTTGGTTCATCCACAATAGATTCCAGCATTAGTTATTCAAGACTTAGATATTGATTTCCTCACATATTTGAATTAATTAGAATAAGCACTAATTAATAAATTATCATGCAAGATTAAGCAAATTACATTGGAATTAAGCAAACTAAACTATAAAACCCTTTTTAAAAAAGGAACTTGGATTGAATTAAGCAAACAATCCCTATTTAATTTCTAACTCAGTTTTCAGGAGATTAGAGAAAATAAAATCCATACAAGGGAAATTTCGTATCAATAATAAAACCCAAACTTCAAGAATTCATTATGAACTACACCAAGGATTAACCCTCAAAACTTAGCCATCCATAAAGGTTTGATTCAGTATTACAAGCATTTAATGTTCAAAAATATAGAAAAACAGAGTAAAAGAGGGAGAAGAAATAGAAACCCTAAAAAGTGAGTTTTGGCTAGTCGCCCAGAACTCCTACCCTAATTCTTTGAGAGTGTAGAAATGAAAAATTACAAGAAATGGTAAAAAGAGTGCCTCCATTCTAATTGGGGATCTATTTATAGTAAAATTAATGTTTTCTCGATGTAGTCACTTTGAATGGAGGAAGTGATTATGCACAGTGATCCCATTGCATTGCTTCTTGACTAGAATGATTACTATAAGTGATAAAAGTAACCACGCATAGCAAAGTGATCAATATGAACACTAGAAGTAGCTACGTGCAATGAAAGTGATCACTATGAATATTGGAAGTGATTACGCGTAGCTTCATTAGTA